CAGATGTTCTAAAAGCATGCCATCAACCTCTGAAGGTACAAAACTTGGTGGGATGTGTTGGARGGACATGAAGGATGATGGAAACCACATTTTAATGATCTTATCCCAACTGCCTTTTGGAAGCTGCTCTAGCAATGAATTGTTTGGCCAGAATTTGTCTTGAAGGAGTCCTGAGAYAGGACTCAGGAATGACCTGGCACTCAAACCCTTGAGCTGGGTCCCTGGCATCCCTGTTTGGCAGTGCAAACACATTCCAAGACAAGCAGACAGTAGCCCTAGGCTGTTTCTCATCCTCAGCTCAGATTCCCAGCACAGAGGCATTGCTCTGAGCTGTGCAGCTGCATATATTTTTCTTATCCTAATTTAGCTCAGATAAKAGGGAAAAAGGAAACAAAAACTCCYGTTCTTTTGTTGCTGGTTGRGAGATTTCACTGCTGTTGGTTTARGTACATGAAGTTTRTAAGTGTGCAAGAGCTAAAGCAACTCAAAGGTAGCACARGCAGAGTGAGCCCAGGMTGTTTTCATCCCTGGACTGCWTACCCATTCAAATGCCTTCAAAGGCACCTACCACTTTCCCTGGACTCTCTGAAGAAGTGAGAATCTGATTTAAATGGACTAGCTCAGCAGCCCCTGGGTTGGGTGGGACTTCATTCACAGGCAAGGAATTTTGTTTGCATGGTGTTTGGTTAATCTCAATGGTTATAAAAAGTTTGAGATGACTCACATCAAAGAATCTGAAAAACAAAAGAGARGATGCAGATTTTACTACCTAAAAAGATTAAATAGTATTACAGTGGAAGTTCTTTGTCACAGTCCTTCAGGGGAAGGTTGATAACATGACMTGAACCAAATTAATATTTGAATATTTAATGATACAAAGCCGTAATATTTTCATTACATTGTGTCACTCCAGAAATATACTATTTTAATGTTTAATAGGAGTAATTACTTTTTATCATTATACTGGTGAATTCAGTATATTAAGTCAAATATTCCATTACAAAGAAAGCACTCTTGTGGAGCTTCTGGCCATGCAGCCTGCATGACAGAAACACATAAATTGTCCCTGACATACAGCTAGATTTTAATTTGTGCCACTCATGTGTTCTGTGCAAGGTAGTGCTCAAAGAAAAGATTTCTAGAAAACTTTGCTCCAATGACTCAGCTTAGATTCTTTCCCCCTTCCATGACAAACTTGTCTGTGCCTTTACTGAACCAGCCCACTGACTTGGCCACTGGACACAATCTATTATTTTCTTCCAGCTGTATTCAACCAGCAGCTCCTTTTTTTTCTATGAATCAGGGATTGTTTTGCAAACATAGGTGTGCAGGAAGCCAGCATGCCAGGCTGTGTGCAGTGCTGCTCCACGAGCTGTTGGATGCAATATGGACATGTTCAGAATGGTGATAAGGGACTGAGCAGTTGGAGACTGGTGATCTGGCTCATAATCTTGTGTTCCCCATGGCACAGCGTTCCTGCATTCCCACATCCTCCTCCATGSTCCTGCTGGTGCCCCCATCCACTCCCAGCTCATGGCTGAGCTGCCCCACTCCTGGCTTCACTTCAGACCCAAGGGTTCACAGCTGTCCYGGCTAAAGAGGGGCGCTGTGCATGGCTTCAAGGGTGTTTTCCCTTCAGGAAATCTAAAAATTCAACTAGTATCCAGCATCATAAAACCAGCTCACATCTCTTAATGGAAAATCTGTGAAGAATAATGAATGGCAAGTTTCCTGTGGGCTGTGCACACGGTGGAGGAAATCCAGATGATACAGGTATGGTTAAATTAGATAATTGCTCACTAGGGTGCAATCATTTAACTTCAATTATTCATATCAGCAACATGACATTCATTCCTGAAAAATAAAGATTTACACCAAGGGGCTTCCTTCYGTGAAAGTTTTAGCTGAGACAGACAGAAGCCACCACAGACAGCAGAGAGTGATGGTGGAAGAGGTGAGGGWTAAACCCCTGTTATTACCACCATCTTCGGGAAGCCACTCATACCTGATTGCCATCTTCCTGTTCACAAAGTGCAGGCAGGATGTCCTTTGTTAGTGACAGTCTAGGCTTAGGCACTAAACTAATCAAAGCTCCTATTCAAACAATATCCACTATTGGCAGTAAGGAAAAGAAATGGACATAAAATTTATTCTTTATTATAAAAGTGACACAACATCCAGAGGCAGAAGAGCAGCAGGCTTTTAGAGGCACGCTATCTGTTAGTGGAATAAACATTTTTACCATTTCTCTGCAGTTTAAAACACACATTTTAAATCTCACAAGAGCCACTGTAAGGCAAAGAGAGTGCAAAGAGCCAGTTACAACTCTCCTGCATTTTTAATACCCAAGTGGAGGTGAGAAAAGGGTCAAGAAAGAATGACATGGACCAAACCTGAATCTTGACATTGCCATTTTACTTTCTGGAGTATTTAAAAGAGGACAGATGGATGTAGCTATTTCTAGAAAGAGTGTAGTGATGARGAGGCTGAAGATGGACTCTTTCCCGTAAGACCTAAATTGGAATTCAGGCCATCTTTTGAAAATGGCAATACCCAGCAGAAGCAGAGCAACTAAAACATAAGTAGAACTAAGCTGGGCAGTTGAGAAACACATTTTAAAACAAGAAGATACAGCTGAAAAGTTCAAATTTGCTATGACTGTGGCCAATTTGTAGATAGTAAATTACATAATGGATATGCTATTTATCACGTGCTGATATTTTCTGAAGAGTTTTTTAAAGGTTAAATAGATTTTGAACCAATTCATGTTGCTCTGATAATTTCATGATAACAAAAAATAAAAGAGCATAATTATAACCACTGTCCAAAATGTTTTCTTAGGGTTTAGCATCAGACCACATATACTGCACAATGGCAACACTTGACTGTTCCTGAAACTTCAGACGCTTATGCTGTTGTAGTTCACAAAATTGGTTTTATTTAAATAACCAAGGARGATTGACAGACATTTTATTAAACACTTTAGAAAACAACAGATTCACTGCAGCAAGTCATATTTTTAAATACAAAAGAGGAACTAGTAAAAAGTTAGTTACATATCCAACACGAAACATGAACATGCGGCTTTCAGGAKCTTTGAATTTTAGAGACTGAGAACTTTACTTACATCAAACACTTCAAACACATCCACATCACAAAATCTTAATATTGCACTATTGCACTATAGCTCCTTGTCCAAGACACACAACGCAAAATGGGCACCTGTATTGCTAACATATAAAGGACCATCAGCAATACATCAGCACAGCCAGCCAGAGTCCAGGAAAGGTCAGAGGGATTGTAGATTTGGTGGCAGCAGTATGGCCAGTAAAATTCAGCAGTTTGGAGCACCAGTGTCCAACATAAGCCCTRTTTTGTGCTGGTATTGCAGGAGACCTTAGGATTGCAGCTGTGCTGCTGTCCTGTGTAGAGGTAGCATAAAACTATGGCTTGAAAGATTTCTATTWAAAAAAGGCTCATCTTAGCTAAAAGCCATATAAAAATTTAAGAGCTCTTGTAATACTAGTCCTAAGTGCAGCATGGCAGCACTTACAGTTCCACTTGTTCAACAGCAGCTGCTGGATTCAGGTAGGTACATAATCTCTGAAATCTGCTGCAGCACTTAAAGAGTTGTGTGCAAAAATGGTAACACCAATCACTTCTGTCTCCCCCTCATCTACAACCATACGGAGAATGCTAGCAGACGAGAGCACAAAAGTGTGTGACACAGAGGAACTGGAAAAGGGAAGTCCTACCTAGCTATACAAGAAGTCCTCCTTTGCTTTTAAAGCCAGCCTGGAAGAGGTGACAGGCAAATCATTTCACTTAAATGCAAAATACAGATAAACAAGTCAGCATTTAACATTTGTGAAAGATGTAACACGGCCACTGCAGTGCTTCACCCCCACCCACCTCACCTTGCATCTAACATTTCAAGACAAAGGTCATTTTAATACTCAGTGAAGGGTGAGGTCCTGGGCAGGGAGGGGCAACATTAAAGCTGAATTCTACTCTCCCCAAACGGTCCAAAAACAAACCACCATAGTTTTCCAACGTATAAACACTCCCCCTTATTTTGTCTGTCCCAATACACTTAAGCATCTTTAATTAAAATAGTCACAAKGTGTGTGTGGAAGAACAATCTTTCATAGTATTTACATCTACCCCACCCTGGCTATTGGGWGCTTGGCTCTGCTGAGGCATTTGGGTGATACTGTAATACAAGTTAGTCTTCTCAAGTGTGATTTGGAAAACAGCACAACTAATATTGCATTTGATACTACAAACATGTTGAGAAAAATTCCACATATAAAAATATTACAAAACAACTWCAACAAGCCATTACAAAAATCACAACTTCATTGATCTTTAATCCAAAACTCCAAGGTTTGGATGTGTTAGACCCTAAGACCAAAACAATGGAGAGAAATTTAATCAATGTTTAGCTTACACATCATTACACTTAGTAAAAAAAGTGGTAAGACATTACTAATTTATTAATACATACAAAATTCAAAATCACAAATATTTACAGTACCTTAACACTAAAACTSTAGCTTCTTTCCCAACACTGTCAAGTACTTAATCCCAGACATGAATGTCAGGATGACTAACCAAGACATTTCAGGCTGAACGGAGTAACCTCTATTTTTCCCATGAGGACACAGACAATATRAGAGGCAGCCACCATCTGGTACAGATTAACCAGATTCATTACAAAAACCCACCCCCACYCCTGCTTTTCCAGGGCAGAGAGCCCAAAGTTACCTTTGTTAAATCCCAGAACTGAGATGGGCACTCTCAGCAGAGCAGCTCTTCAGAATGCAATGTGGCTGTGTCTCYTTGCTCCCTGCAGGGTTACATTTCCCCTCCCTACACAGCACAGAGTGAGCCCTGTCCAGCTGCCAGCTTCACCTRCATTCCATGTACATCACTTGTTATTCACGACAGAACTTTTTTGTTCTTGCTGCTCCTTGCGTGTGGTTTGATTTTTTTTAATAAATATGAAAGTCTACAACAAGTGTTTTCAGGCACATCTCCTGATCGTTGTWTCAGTCTGTAAAACAGTCTGGCCTCTGGGGAACTGTCAGGCGACTGAGAACATTCGAAGAGCATTCAAAGAGCAGCACCTTGCSCTGAGTGCAGCAGAGGCAGAGGAGGAGCCTTCTCCAGCAGCTGGGAAACATCAGCACGAAGAATCGATGAGTCTCTGGCGAAGTCTCTTGTCTTCCCTCGTATTCACATTGCCACTTGCACCATGGTCTGTCAAAACTGAAGAGAAAGCAAAGCTTTACAGGTGAAAGGGCCATCAAGCCGCTTGACACCTCCTGGTGTACAAAGGAACTGCCACCACACCCGTGCTGCGATGCCACCGCTGTCCCCACGCCCAGCAACAGGATGCCCTGCATGTCTCTCATCCAAAGCAGCACCTACCACCAGTTTGTTAACACAGTCCCTAATTAAAACATGCTGGCACCATTAGGGACAGAGGAGAAGATGGATGAGCTGTGGSTGAAGCTTTGCCTGCAGCTGCCCCCAGGCAGAAGGAGAGGGCTGCCCCAGCCAGAGCTGGTCATCGCACAGATTCTTTCTGCAATGCATTTTAACAGAGCTTCAAGCATGAGCTTGTTCTGCTGTGGACAAAGATAAGTCTTTGAAGTGTTTTTGTAAGATAAMAATCTCAAAAAATTCTACTTTCAAATACAAATGACTCAGATTTCCTATTCACTTTTTCAGCTCATTGAGCAGAGACCTCCACCTTGGGCTTTCACAGTCTCCTTCCAAACCCACTCATCATTTCAAAAAGGACCAGATTTGAGAGGAAAGATATATTCTATCATAGGAAAGATATATTCTATCAGAATTATTCCAAAAGGACTTCTTCTGGTTCAAAATTAATTTTGCTTGTTTGTTCTGAATTCTCCTGTTGCGTAAGTTGATTCTCCTCCAAATCTCAGCCTACCTTGACCCAAGCACAGAGAAACAGCTAACCCCTGGGTACTGATGCTTCTTATTTTATTAATTACAGGGCATAGTTTTCAAGAGAAAATAGATTTATTATTTTCCTGCCTTTGAAACACCTCTTTAACTTGCCCTCAGCATTGTGCTTATGTACCCAGGCCAGCTTCTAAATGTTTTAAAGCATTGTCACTTTTGGTTTATAACTCTCCCTGGATCTTCGGCTCTCTAATTCTGCACTCGAGGAAGAAACTGGAATCACAATTAAGATATGCCACATTTTTTAGGACAGAACCTTGGACTGTATCTCATGTAAGAGTGATTGCTCAACCCAGMCATGTCTGCAGACTGATGGGATATCCAGAGAACTGTTACACCAATCCAAATTAACTTTGACCATTTTGACAAAAATCACTTTACGGTCAATCTTCCTAGCTCTCTGTGAAAGCGGGAACAGGAGCATTCACACTGGCCTCAGTCTCACTTCCCTTCTTTTGTCACTTTCTGTTCCTCTGCCAGCCACATTTCTGAGCACCAGATRTATTTTTATATTCACCCAAGACGTCTGCCAAAGCCTGAATAGAAGCAGAAGCAGCAGTTACTACGCTTTGGAGCAAATTTCTGAAAAAAAGTCCTGAAACCACCAGCTTTCTCACTGGAGATACTTCAAGCACCTACTGCAGACCAGCCTAGAGCTCTCCTACTGTGCAGAGGGTCTTAAGGAGTTCATGTTCAAAMAGCTGAAGCCTCTTAGTGCCAGAGCAGAGATCTCAGCAACCTAGCAGACACTGCAGGGTTCAGCTGTGCCATTGACTAACACCACCAGAGTCTTCTGAGGTGATATCAGTTATAAAGCAGTCAACATAGCAAGGGCAAAGCAGGTCCACTGTCTTATAGAATATATTAATAAGTTTCTGGTAGGAATACACATCCAAATCAGCTTACCTTGTAGCTCTGTTCCATCCTTTTCCAGCTCTTCTGTAGTTGTTTCTTCRGGTTTCTCCAGCTCAGCTGTCCCTGGCTTCCCATCTATGGTATCAGTCTTAATAGTACCAAGGTTTACCAAAAGCTGCATGACATCAAACTTCTCAGAAACTGCAATGTTCTCCAGSACTTTAAGGCACTTAAATGATTTAAGTTCACTCACGTTTTCCTCAAGGAAGAGGAGGTAAAGGCTTAAGTCATCAAAGCACTTTGACTTAAGTTTCAGAACATCGAAAGTTGGCAGGATTTCGTACACTTTGAGAATACCTGAATTCCACCTCCATGGAACAAACATTGCATACACAACCAGGGGCATCACCAGCAGATAGACTATCAGGTTAATATAGCTGAGCACCTTGAAGACACCAACAGCAATAAGCTTGCACTGAACCACTTCTGGAACAGYTGTGTCATTCTTTAAGATCCCAGTTTTGATAGTGCAGAGAAACTCATCACTCAAAGAGGAGAGACTGATGTAGTAGCCCARATAGAGGCATGCAAGGAAAATAATCACTAGTGTGAGCAAACGGCAGATAATGTATTTAATTATTAAGCACTTGGAATTCTTCTTCGTCTTCAGGTACTGCTCCACAATTGGGTATTTAAAGTAGCTTTCAGATATTTCCCACAAACTGAAAAAGAGAGAAAAGAAYACCAAATCACATAGATCAGATGCTGCAGCATTCACCTACCTCAAATATCAACATAACCTGGTACTCTAAAAGAGATACAAGATTGGAAACCCTCTTAAAATCATARAATCACAATATGGTTTGCACTGGAAGGGCTCTTTAAACATCATCTATTTCCAAACAATCCCCATKCTCTGYCATGGAMAGGGACACCCTCCACTAGACCAGRYTGCTCAAAGCMCCACCCAACCTGGCCTTGAGCACTTCCAGAGATGGGGTATCTTCAGCTTCCCTGGGCAACCTGCACCAGCCTCACCACCCTCACAAGGAAGAATATTTTCCTAATATCTGATCTAAACCTACCTTCTTTCATTTTAAAGCCATTTCTCCTTGTCCTGTCACTACATACCTCTCTAAAAACTCTCCAGTTTTTCTGTATATCCCTTTTAGGTACTGGAAGGTGCTCTAAGGTCTCCCTGGAACTTTCTCTTCTCCAGGCTGAAYAACCCCAGCTTTCTCAACTGCTATTTGCATGAGCTGTTCCAAAGCTCTAATCATCTTGATGATCTCTGRACCCCTTCCAACATGTTCACATCCTCCTACTGAGGTAAATCAAGGGTAGTTTTATTGAAGCCAATAGACAACCATCAAACAGAATAGCAGATGAATAAAAATCACTGACTTCCTAATACAGTAAAGTCAGAAATAAACTTCCACTGGAAAGTTGCAAAAAAAGTATGGCCCTCATGGCAAAATATATATATWTTTTCTTTTCCAAACCAGGTATAGTAAGAAAATCCATGAGGAAAAGCAGACTCTCCAAGCACTTTGAGAACTGAGGACTGCAGTATCTCTGTTCTCTTACACTGTGGTGGGTAAAACTACTTAACACCTACTACAACTAAAGAAATCAGAACATCTTGGGTAATAAGTAACCTGAAGTGCTCATTAAATGTCTTCCTTGAGAAAAGAAAACGGTAAGTTCCAGCTCAAGTGCCAAAGTAATCATTTCAGATATCTTCTTTTTTTTAACCRAATTTGTAAGTGTGTTAGGTTACCATTCAAACCTTTGCAATAAATTTCTAAGTGAGTTCAGACGTCACATCTGTTCAAAACTTGAATAAAAGRAAGAAAAGCAAGCCCCAACATCTTACCTCTGGGTCAAGTTGTCATTAGCAGCTGGAATCAAGTCATTGGGGTCCCTGGAGTCTCCACTTCGAATGCTATTAGCAGCTTTGATTGCCCTGTTATAAGCTTTGTCGAGTTCTTCCATAATAAATTTCAGGTCTGAGGAAAGGTGAGGTGCTGCAGTGAAGCGCCAGAACAAACATGGTAGGTACAGCAGGATAGCAACGAGCAGAAGGATGTATGGGAAAAACTGCAGGGACAGAAAAAACCCTGATTAGGCTTCACCTAAATAAGAAATAAGTCAACCAACCACCATCACTTCCTCTAAGTATTAGGTTTCCTATAAGCCTATTAAATCCCTCTGATTTTATGTAAATCCTTCTAGTAAAACCCACTTTTGCGATTATTTGGGATATGCAGGGAAGCAAAATCTCTTTTCAGACAGCTCCAGTAACCTTGCTGCTGCTTAGGGCTTCCCCCCACCGAAGAAAAAGGAAGTGCAGAATAAAGATGTCCTGGTAACAATTTCAGCAGAATAAAGATGTCCTGGTAACAATTTCAGCATATTCAGAACTGCTGGAGCTGACACTGAGCAAGGCAGCATTAACCTGGGAAGAAACAAATAGCAAAGCAAACCAAAGCACCGCAGCTGTCAGAGAGGCTGGCTGARAGGAGAGGAATAGTGTCACCTAACTCTCCCTCCCCAATGTGTCACCACTGATCACAGCAATTAAAACACTCCAAACACCAGCAAAACCTCTCCTGCTTTCCMTTAGCTGTCAGGAGGTTAATGAACAGAGCTGTTACAGCTCTGCCTCTGCCTGCAAACACACATCTGTTCAGAGTGCACAACATACAGGCAGTGTTGAAGGATGTAAGAGCAGCTGTAATATTTCAGGGTATTCAAATATTTTCAGGTAACTCTTAAATGGAAATCAACACACAGCATCAGAATGGTCTGGTGTTAATGCAGCACTGAGAAGTCAGCCCCTACATGGTCACCACTCCTTAGGGAAAGGGTTGAAGCAGGTATAAAACACAAGTTTGAAGTTACTCCATCTTTCTTCTATTCATCAACAAGTAATTTTTAATCACGTGGTTTTAATTTGAATTCCTTCCAGCTGCAGCAAAGATGTGTTTTCGACCTACTCTGACATCCTGTTCAAAGTACAAAATCATACATAACATTACCCTTACAGAGACACGATGTAAGACCTGGTCAGACAAGCAGTTTGTTAATGAAATGCACTGCAAATATGGCCAATCTCTAACCCACCACGTTCAGCTTTTGACAGCAAGCATACTTAAATGCAGCAGCAGTTCCTAAGGAGCTTTAAATTAGTCGAGGTGAACAAATACGAAACAGATGTAAGACATCACAAGTGTCACAGCCATGTGCTCATGCACATTCATCAGCAAAGCCAGTGGAGATTTTTAGAGGAAGCTTGGACTGAAGCCATTAATCAGTGCAAGTGGAAAAGCTACACGAACATTTGCAGGTATTTAACAAGATGGAAATCTGGATCTAATATTACTATGTTAACTTGTGTTTGCATTAATCAAGAGAGATWAAAGCTTTGCATGCACAAAGTAAGTAATTTGATGCTATGGAACATTTTATTCATGAAAATTACTTTTAACATCATGCATCATTAGAGCAAAATCCTGTGTCATTATTGGCAGTAGGAATGCATTTGATGTATTAAATCTTAAATGACTGACTTCACCTGCCCACAGCAGCCCATAAAAAGCCTGCAGAGCTCTGCCCTTACTACTGACTCTCTTGCACGCAACAGATAACTTCAGGTCATCTTCCTTTTTGCAGGCCTAGCCTTTCCAGTTGAGATGTGCAGCCTGGCATGTCCAATATGTTTTGGTAGACACCTCATTAACTCAAACCCAGCAGCACAAGAATTTGCTTTTCTTATTTATCACTGTGGATAATCCACCMGGTTTCACAGGTCTGAGTCCTGATGTCTTGGTTTACCCAAAAACTTCATGTCCAGGCTCTGCCAGTTCTCTGAATTCTGTATTATGTAGAAATATAAACGATCTGTCTACAAACCCATCTTAAACTTATCTAAGCTCCTTTAAGATGCTGCAACACATTTTCTGTAGGTCTTAAGAAATTATTAAGACTGCCTGTAAAAGAAAGCTGCAAASCTGTTTGACTTCACTCACATCTGTCATATACCTCTGAGCTGCCTTCCACTGGTGCCACGTGGGGAAAGAAATGACAAAGACACCTCATTTAGTAAGGAGCAACCAGAGCTCCTTACATTGGTTYGTACCACTTGGCTTTAGTACTGACTTATTTCAAATTTTACACGTGGCAGATGATTTATGCATTTCCTTCCCGACCCCCAAAACTGCCATCAGAACTATTCCATATAATCCTAGAGATGTCTTTACCCAAGTCCTACAAGACATGTGGTAAAAGATCATTGTCACACTGCAGTCACAGCCCAAAACCTCCATTGTTCCAGTCTTCATCTCTTCCTTTATACCTTAAAAAAATTCTGCACTTGTGTAGCACATTGCCATGAGCCCTCTTGCTGTCCCAGACGTTCTCCAACATTCCCCTCTCCCCTGCCTTGTAAGGCYGCTGCCTTTCAAAAACCAGCCTCTGCCATCTTGCCTCACACCTCCTCCTCTCCCCAACTCCTTCACCACTGTCTCCTCACAGAGGAGCATCACACTGCTGGAAAAAAGGCACATTTGTCACGCATTTGCTGGGCTTCCTCTAGCCATGCTCTCATCAGTCCCAAAACTGCAGCCTATGGCAGCAAGAGCCCACACTATGCAACACTTTTCTGAATGGTCCCAAAACCAGAGCAGCAACATGATCATGATTCCAGATCTTTTAGCTTGCAAACAAAAGCCTGCATTTGTCAGCTCTTCCACAGCACTTGATGCACAACTCCATCCTTCCCAGATTGTTGTTACAAAAATTAAAGATACGTTCATTCTATTTGTTAACAGCAGGCTTAGATAACTTAACAAATGGTTTTGAATCATTAAAATTTAAGGCCGTGAATGACAGGCAGAAGTGAAAATGCAAAGTCATCTGGCATGAGTCCTAGGTTTTAGAGCAACAGACTTGTCTAGAACAACAAATTGTCTAGCTCATCTGACTACATTTTACAGTCACACATAATGACTTTGCATTTTAGGGAGAGGACTCTGTGTTTTTTGCACACAAACAACCATGTGCCATCCACTTTTATGGTTTTATGGTTTTATGGTTTATTTGCTCCCAAGGCGCCAAATACACAAGGAGGAAATACTGCTACTTCAYTCCTGGGTAGTTTGCAATACTGAAGTCAAATGGGAAGTGTCACCAACCCCAGGAACTGTATGGTCAAATGCATGCCAGAGAAAGATACTGGCCTAGAAGTAAGACTCAGTTTTTCCTTTGCTGTGTAGTTATCGAATTTCTTTTCAACATATTTGGTATGAGATGGACAAAATGAGTGGTGTGTGCACCAGGGACTCTACAGTGCCCTGGATGCTTTCTGCTAAAGATTACTGAGCTCCTGACAGCTAAGGATGATGGAAGCAGGTTCTACCTTGCTTGGCCCTTTGTCTGACAGCATGCTGGGTGGGAGCAGCAGGCTCCTGACCAAGAAGAGCACTTGGAAGCCAAGAGATTGCTACCCCTTGCTCTGTACAGCTGCAGCTTATTTCACTCGACAATCTTTCGAGTCCTTTCCAGGCCATTGAATTACATTTGTCAGTACTCAGCTACTGCTCAGCAAAAACATGTGCATGGGTATAGAAGGAGAGGCATTCAAGTAACCCGTTTGCAGAAGCACAGAAGGTGTTAGAACCACAAAACTGTCTTTCAATGATGCATCAGCACCACACTTTCCTGTAGGTGAAAGTCAAAATCAGACTAAAGCACAAAATAGTCTGTTGCATAACATCACCACCTTCAACTGTGCTAACATGAAGTAAATACAAATAAGTTAAAAGGGCATTTAAATTAACTGCTTTATAACTTCAAATATGCTTTTATCATGCAAAAAAAATATAGCTGGAATTGGTGGAGTGAYGCACAAGGCATTTTCAAGGACCTAATGTACAGAAAGCTTGCCAGGGTCTGGAAAAAAAATAGCTGGAAGAAGATGAAAATCACTTTAATGCCATTTCAAAAACAACTGCTTTCTAATTTTACTGCACCTTCAGTCCTTATTTCCTCTGGGCAAACATTATACAAGAGACTGAAAGCATTCTGATTCCCATCACACCTGACCGTGGTCAAAGAGTAACTGTAAGTACAACAGCACAAAAATTCAAGCTGCACAGGTCTGGATAACAGCTTTGAGAAAACCAGTTGGCAGACAATATTCAACAAAGAATGAAGCACTCAAGTGCCCTCACTCACTTGACATTAAAATACACGAACATGGTGATATGTTTCCCTCTTCAACTCCTATTTTCTATTTGTCACTGGAAAGAGCCCAAGCAAAGGCACAAGTCCCCAAACAGGCTAATGACAGTAATTACACATTTCYAGAAGCAAAGGCATTAAACTCCCTCTGGATATGACCCTATTACTGTTTGCAGCAATGGGAGGTGCTCACTGGTGTTCAGCAGAAATGCCTATGATTGACCAATCATTCTGACTGAGATCCTACCCTGTCTTCAAACCTACAAGTGAATCCCCAGTCCTGTGTAGATCCCCACACCTTTATCCCACCTGTCACAAACCGTCTGCTTTGATATAGCTTCAAAACTGTACTTCTGAAGCCATAATCACCAGTGGAGGCTGTGATGGCTGTATCCAGTTTACACTGGACTCYAGGGGACAGATATCAGCGTGGCAGTCAAGGGCTGTCTGGMACAGTGGCCCAGCCCTGTCACAAATAAATATTGTACAGTAATCATACAAATATGACTTCAAGCCAATCATCATATTCTGTAAGCAGTGGGCAGCCCATGGCCTGTTAAGCTTTCCTACAGGCTGCAGGCTGCCTGCCAGGTTCTCCCCTTGAGCAGGGATCCCTCCCAAGAGACTCCTCAAGGCTGAGAGACTCCTTGCTGTAACACACTGTGTAAGTGATTAATAGCATGCTAAACCTTGAAATCTCAGCTTACAAAGGACTGACAGTGCACATATCCTATAGACATAAACCACTGAAAAGTCTGGGACTTAGTTTGAACCCAGTCACACATGAACTCCCTGCTGAGGAGGTCAGAACACAAAGGAGTCCTTTCTGAACCTCATGACTCAACAAGAGGGTCTCCCTAAAAATTCTGATTTTATGCCCATGCACTAAATAAAAGTGTATCTTCCCACTGAATCTTGTTAAACTACTGTCACTGTGTTAACTCACTGTTTTCTATCAACACATTGTTTCTTCTCTCTTGTTAGTGAAGTGGATGACTCCATCTGCAACAGACTGAAGTACCTCTAACACTACACTTGCAAAGAATTATAAATGCATCTGCATTTGGGTTTCCTTGCTCTGACAGCCCTTAATCCCTCTGAGTAGGGTTTACAGGTGAAACATGAGGGGCCTTCAGTCAACTAAGAAATTGTACAAACAGTGAGTAATGAGATCCAGGTAACAGTCATGATTATATCATCAATTCATTATGAACAACCTCAAGGTTTGTTTTTATGCATTCAGACAAGTGATTCAAACAACAACTCAACAGTCCATGGTAAATTGTACTTTTACAAAAAGTGAGGATTTTCAACAATGTAATTTCACTTCATGTATGTAAAGACTGCAGACCCACTCTTTGTATGCAATGCTTTCAGCACTTGTCCCGCACTTTGAGAGACCTGAGCTGGACAACTGACCTCTCATGGCTGTGCCCCATGTGAAGACATCTTCTTTCTGCTGTCAGTCAGATTAACTGTTTACCTGCACTTCATACGAATACAGAATGCCTTCTGAACAACCATCTACTCCCTTTACCTCTACTCTGCCTACCTTTATCTTCTTGTTTCTTCCCAGTTAACAGCAGACTAGGAAACACAGTAATTAAAAAAATCCCTAGAAGGCTCTTGATCATAGACAGCTCCACCCTAGCAATCCAAATTTCAGGACTTATAAAGAGGTCATCACACAGTGTTCAATCATCCTTCAACTTGCTTCGCTGCTATCATGTCTGGTGGCTATCAGGAACTGGTAGGATGATGCTCACTGCTCCCCTGCTTGAGTTTTTATAAATTTCTCTGTGCACTGCGGATTAAAAAGGCTTCACAGTGCGGTCTCCTCCTCTCCTCCTCCACTAGACTGCAAGGACTGCCCACACACAATGGCCAAAGGCTTCTCTTCTCCTTCCAGTGAAGGATCAAGACAAGTTTCACCAAAATAACTTGTCAGGTGGAGCACTCATCTTTACACACAATAAGCAAACTATCTGCACAGGGGGAGAAAACACAAAACTCCATCCCCATCACCACTGTGTGCCTCTCTTTATCATCCACCTCTAGAAAACAGTATCTCTGTTCTGAAATTTCAGATCGACACAACAAACTTGTGAAGGGAATTAAACCTGAATGGAAAATCCCATAAGAAACAAGTCAACAAAAGAGTGAAGCCCAACCAGATTAAATGTCATCAATGACAAATCTGAAGAGAACTCCTGCCAGAGGACTCAACCATATAAATAATTTTGACAGCTTTCACTGTCAAAGAGGAGGAAATCCTAGCATTAAACTAAGAATGCAGGCAGGACCWACCAGTCTCTTCTTTATGTTTATCTTTCTGCAGGTATTTTGTTTACTCAATTGTGCATGCTAGCACACAACTCATTTGCTTCCTGCTAAAGGTTCTCCAGTGCAAAGAGTTTCCAGGATCACTGGAAATTTCAGAATGCCTGTTCTCCACAGAGAGGTCCTGGGCACCCTTCTAGGAGTACACTGACCACTGAGAGTCAAGGAACACAGAAGGTTGCAGTATGCTCCTTCTCACTTCCCAAACTAATAAATTCAACCCCTGGGAGAGATCTCCTAGAGCAGAACTGACAACCAGTAAAGGTGCCAAGCTTTGGGGAGTGCCCAGAAAGAAACTAACATTTTACTGTTCAAAAAACCAAAAATCCCAGCACAAACTTSAACCCTGAAATAGGAGGGAAATGGTGAGGTTTCAGTTTTTCTTAATGCAGTCTGGGTTGGATAATCCTCCAGAGCAGCCAGATGCTGAGAACAAGAGCAGTGAAGGTTGCTACAAGCTGGACTCTTCACTAAAGAGTTCCCTGCTCCTATTTCCTCTCTGTACCACACCGAGCACAGCCCCAGCAGGCAGTGCTTCTGACAGAGCACAGAGAGCATGCCAAAAGGAAATCCATCACTTTGATCAGCAATGAGGCCTACAATCTCATTCCCCCAAAAACATTATAGAATGCCTCCTTAAGAGTTTTTTTTATGGGGCCTTCCAGCATGCCAATACAGTGAGATACTAAGTGAGTCAGAGTTTTGGAAAGAACCTGAGATGCCCTGCAAGTGAAAGCTCTGCTTCCCAGAATGGAGAAAAGAAACTGTAAGTGTTGTTTTAAGAAGAACTGGACCTAACAAACTCTGGTGCATCCCTGCCCTTACACTGCAGAGTCACACTATGATCTGAGCATAGGAAGTCTCCCTTTTCTCCTCAACATCACTGTGCTCCCAAAAGACTCTGCTCTCCCTGTTTTTAAAATTATAATCTAGCCAAAATCTGCAGAGCAAAGATCTCCCACATACGTTGCAGTGCAAGACTGGGGAGACAGCCCAAGCAAGCCCTGTTTTCCTGCAGAGCTGATCTCAAGCCACCCAGCAGCTATTGGCCCTGGATGCAGAGAACAGCCTTCAGACACAACAGTGGGAACCAAAGTTCACTGTTAAACACCTGTAAAACCACTCCTTCCCCGTAAACTTGTAAAGCATGGAGGCTGATGAACAACCAGGAGGACTTTAGTTAATACTGACCTCCAAAGAGCATCTGCAGCTCCCAAAGTCTGGATCAGAATGGTGGGTGGCTAATCATGGAGCTAGGAGGCTAAGATGAGGCACCAGCCTCTGTTACAGCCTCTGGCTCAGCTGTTCAGATGCACCTCCCACAGACAGTCTGCAGGGCATTTACAAGGAAACATCATACACCACTAAGCTGCCATGGGAGGAACTGCAGCAATTTCTGAGACAGCAAATTAACATGGGTTGCATCATAAAAGTTGGAGTGCTTAAGCTATTTGTGGCTGGCAAACAAGCAGACTCAGTGCTACCAGCAGGTGACTATCACATGAAATTCAACATAAAGAATTTGGGTAACAAGATCGCATTCTCTCAAGAGAACAGGGCAAAGTACAGCAAAGTATCCAGGTTTGAGGTGGAATTTCCAGTCATGCAAGCTACCTGCACTGTGAGATGTTCCAGCAGCTTTGACTAACCTCTGCAGAAGGTCTGACTGCAGCACAGTGGAGCCCTAACAGAGCAAGAAAGAGTTCAGGCTAGAAACCAACAAGTCTGGCTTTAATATTCATGAAACATATGCCTACTGGGTCAAGGTTATCAGTGGAGCTAATTGAAGAAGCCAGCAGTAAATCCCCAGTTAATGATTTGAGTCAGCAAATAAATCAGAGACAGCCTTGAACAGTGTCTCAGAGAAGACACCACCAGGTGACTGCATAATAAAACCTGAGGCTCAGGATACAGGAGCAAAAGCTAGAAATACAAGTGCTGCAGGTCCCATACCTGAGCTCCCTCTCGCACCAGGTTCTTCTCCGCTATCAGATGCCTGGGTTTACTGGCTGAGGCAAGTAATAGAGGGCTGAGGAAGGCAAAACACAAATTTGCAGAGCCCAAACAGCATTTCCTCCTTTGGCATCAGCACTGCCTGTGCAGGCTGAAGCTGCCTTTTGAGTGGAGCCAGCTCCAGGCACTGGCAGGGCACTGACTCAGTGTGGAACTCCTGCCAAACCTCAGCTAAGTGCTTTGAGCCAGCTCAAGTACTTTAAAAACCACTGCACTTTTAACCCACAAAAGCAAGCTCTTTCTGTGCATTCAGTTTTACCTGAAGCTATGAAAGCCAGCTCACAGTTTGCAAGGGAACAGCCTGTGGACATGCAGAAGAGCACACTGAAGAGAAGGGTTAAACCTGTTGGTACCAGTGATTATTTTCATCTCTCCCAAAATATCTATCTGCCATAAGCCTCTCTGCATGCACAACTGGCCAAGTGTAATACAATAAAAATATTAAAAGTTTTTATTACCCTGTTTTCCTAAAATAAGATTTTGATACAGGCATTAAAGCAGTTGCTGTGTCCTGTATTCCAGCTTTAGAAGTTCCTGGCCAATGCCAAGTAAAGCATTCAGCTGCAGGGCAACATAGCAATAGTAACATTACTCTTGTGACAGATAACTGGTGACCCTTTACTTAAAAGAAGAAAATGCCTTCTCTAGTACTACCCTCTTTGGAAGCATGGGGAAGGGAACATTTTAAATAGAGCCAAGTCAAAGGCAAGGACTACAGCAGAACAGAGGAGAAAGAAAAGCGAGGCAAAGGCAGGTTTCTAGGTGGGAATAACTTTGCTAGGAGATGGAGACCTGTACTTACTTTATGCAGCCACAGGGGTATGTTTTCTAAGTTATTGTGGGATGGTTGCTTCTGCTGCACAGCTGCCCAGCAGTAGGAGTCCACATAAGCAGCTTGTCGCCAGGAGAAAGAGCTGGGTGCAAAACAGCTTATCTGAGCACCTGGGGAAACAAAGCCAAAGTTATTGCATCCTCAAAAGATTAAAAAAAAAAGAAGAAGAAAACAAGCTGAGGAAGAAAAGAACACACCTAAGATGTTATGGCATCCCAAGTTATTAGGGTAAGTGATCAGACAAAACAGAGCAGTTCTGGAGGGAGGAGGGTCACTGCGCTCTCACTGCACCCAAAAGCTCTAATTCCCACGGGGATCCAAGGATGTCTTGTAATGGTTGAGGCAGCATATTAGAAACACCTACCTTTAAGGCTATCTCCATAAGTTTTGTGGGGAATGTGATCCCAAAGACCTTTCTCACCTGCACTTAACTCAGGCTGGCCAAAGGGGAACCAACAAAGTGTGACCAGACAAGGCCTGAGGCAACAAAAGCCATCACATACCATCCTGTCACTATTTCCCAAAAGCACAACCTACAGCTCACATGTCTATCAAAACAAGACCTCAAACTCCATTCTTGCAGCCCAGCAATCCTTGCAATGATGGAAGAGCAACTTTTCCCAGGGTGCTGCCACTTCTTCTGCCTCTGAGACTGCAAATTATTTTGAGGGGTTCAAGCTATATGGGTGGAAACAAGGATTTCCTCTTGGAATTTTTGGCAGAGAAACTGTGACCCCAGACACCTCCAAAAGGTGCCAGGCTCCTCCTCTCCAGTACAGTGCCCAAGATCATGCATGAGACTGTCATCCCCATTCATTCCTGGGGCCTCTCCTGCTGCTCAGGAGCTCAAAATAAGATCAAGCAGCCAACCTCAGCCTTAGGGTCAAATCCTGCTCTGACCAGTCACAAGGCACCAGGTGACTCCTCCTCCAGCATATCTCAGCCAGGAAGAGTGGTTATGGGACATGAAGTATCAGTGGCTCCTCTGATAAAGCCAGTAATGCAGGATGAGAGGGTTCAACTTTCTTTCTGAAGCTTTGATAGTGAAAGCAATACCCCCCAAAACACATCCATTTCCACCAGACTTTCATAAATGTTGAAATAGGACAGTCATTTCAACAAAAAACTACAGAGAGATGAGATGCCTCTTCCATGAACAGTTCTTCTAAGAGCAACTTCCAACACAATATAAGAAAGAAGGAAAATATTGCTGTATTTTTCCCTCAACACATTCATCTAAGATGTGCTAATGGCATTGCTATGTGCTTTATGGGAATAAGTATTTAATATAAGATTATATCATTTGTTGTATCTTTTTGCTTGTTTAGCTTTCAGATAGTAAGAACTTGTTTTGGAAAAGAAGTCAGCTGCATTCACCTTGTAACTTTTACAGCCTGTTTACAATGTAGCACTGTCAAGGAGCTTTCTGAATAAAAGCCTTTCCATTTGAGCCACTCTTATAATTATTTCTAAGGCTGTGGTATCATAAGGACATGGTTTGATCATCAGGGTTTGACTTGCCACAAGCCTCCCTTACAGAAAACAAGTTACTGTTTATTAGAGCTGAGCTCACGTGACTTAGCAAAGTTGGCACCAGGCAGGCACTTGCACTCCCCCAAAGCTTTGGGAGTTTTTGTTTTCCAGATGATTTTAATTAGTTGTGAAAACCCAACAAATAATATATTAGAGAAAAAAAGGGGCAGAAAAAAAAGCAAATAAAAAAAAGCAGGCATTTAGTGACTGCTGTCCACTGGATGGGACCATTTATGCCCTGCTCTCATCATTTAACCAACCTGCTGCTGGTAGCTGTGCCCAGCATGGAGCAGCAAACAAGTGACCCTTTCAAAAGGACAGCAATGGAGTGCTCAGAAAGATGCTTTGTCTTATTCATGTCTGTGTATTCCACAAAAAGAAACACATTCCGTGTGTTCATTCTCACTAAAAGGCAGGACACCACTTAAAGTGATGGAGTGTTTAAAAGGCAGGAGTGATGAAAAGGGCAGCCACACCCCTTCTCCAAAATTAGTGATGACAAATGCACCCAGACTCCTTCTCCAAAATGTCGTATGCACAGCTTTATACCAGAATAGCTACAGTGAGGCCCGTGCTGCAGCAGAGCAGTGAACACCACTCTTCTAATCCCCGTGTTTCAGCAGGGACATGGCAAACCTGACCAAGGAGCCAAGCAGATGCAGCTCAAGCAGGGGGGACACTCCAGCTGTTGTGCTGGTTTTTAACTACCTGATTGCAGTCTTGTTTGTAAACACTTGTTAATTCAAATTACAACTTTGCAGTAATGGTAATAATGTTAATCTTAAACAGGGAACATGTTTTTGTGCATCGTCCCTACAGAACATAGATCATTAAATTCCTCAGAAAAAGGTCACCATTTTCCATCTTTTTTCCCATCCTTCTCTCCTCCAAAAGAGTAATAGTAGTGTATATAGAGAGATAATTTATTTCATGTCAGACTATTTTAGAAGAAGTAAAAATCTGTAGTGAAAGAAAGTGAAAAGAAATACGGCACAGGGCTATGTGCCTTCCACAGACCCGCTGTGCACATCTATTCACAGGGCTAGTTTATGAGAGGCTAACAGTCCTCTGCTATCAAAGAAACAGCCTCCTGGCTCAGTGACATGAACCCATTCATGTCCTTTGCTCCCACAAGTAATAGCCTGGGAAAGAGAAAAGCAGCAAACAAACTCATAACAACAGGGAGATAAAATATACAGTAGGAAGGATGAAGAGTAACAAATGATTGTATTTGTTAAGCAGTCATCACAACAGTTTTTGGCCAATTTATCATTACACTTGGCAATGCACTGTTTTTGTAATCATTCCCTGGTACTAAATTGGCTTTGGAGAGGGAGCTACAGGGATGTGACTTACATTTTTGCAAACAAATGAGGATAAAAAAATGCTACTGGACATTTTGCATGCACTCTAAAACAGAGCCCACCCAAAAGAGCTGCAGAAAACTAAGGCACCAACAGGTGCAGCCATGTATGATGACACTTTTCCAACAGTGCTAAGATGGAGCTGGTCATTGCAGCAGGAATTACTTGCAGGCACTCAACTGGGTGCAGAGTACAAGCTTCAGTCACTGCAGCCAGCGCACAGCGAGGATGAGCTGTCACCCCACCCTGCTGTGGCACATCTTTGTGGGTGCTTTGCCAACAAATTTCCAGCTATTGCCTCTATGTCTGTACCGGGAATATCTTTTTTTTCCCTGTAACTGGCTCCTCTGCAGCTCCTATGCAGGAAATCTATGTATGAGAAGCAGGAAATCTATGTATGAGAAGAAACTCTCAGAACCCCAAGGAAATCTCAGATTGAAAGGAGAGTCTCTATTCGGCACTGGACTGCTCTGCTGGGTGCAAGGCAGGATGAGCTGAGGGATCAGCACCCTCTGGCTGCATCCCTCACAAAAGGGAGGGCAAAGCCAGCAAGCCAAACTGATTTCCTCGTCAGCAGCTCAAAACCTGTCTGCTGACTTACACATCTAATTAAGAAACTGCAACTAGCAGAGATGACTTCCAAAAATCAATGCTAATCACAGGCATAACTATTTTTCCTTAACCAGGATCAAATGACTGCAGTTGACAGGATGAAACCTTTAGCAAGTAATTATTTGGATTCCAATACACTGCCATCACTGCAAAGAGATCTGCATACACTTGGAGGAAACCCTTTACTATTTAGCCATTAATTATTGCTATAATTTTCCACGAGGCCAAATGAACTTGCCATGATACCCAAACATCTGATTCTATCTACAAGAATTATGCACTTTAGTAGCCACTAAATACTCAAACAAGAAAATCAAGGCACAAACAGACAATGTACAGACTGCCAGGCACCATCCAAGGCACATCCTTCACCCCAACATTAAGAAGTATCTTAAAATATGAAAAAAATCCCAACACATACCAAAGAAGAAACAAATGTACATGTGGGTGTACAAGTATATACACATGCATTAAGAGCAGACCTGAAGGAATTATTTTATTTTATTTATAGATGCTTCTCACAGACTGAAGTGGCAGATTGGGTGAAACAGAAAAGACACTGTGTTGAAGAAGGAAGTATGGAGGAAATAGATGCAGAGGAGAAAAGTACCTGTTAACTAAGGTACTCTGGCAATGGAATAGTACAAGAATGTAAAGCTCAGCTGATTCAATATTTAAGTGGAGTGGGTCAGAGGTGTTAGCAACTACATTTCCCTCTCCATGGGGCTTTCAGTTATCCCCCAGAAGAGTCTCAAAATCATGCAATGGGAAAAGAAAAAAAAGCATTGCCTTACCATAAGTAAGCTTTTTGATCAATGGGGAGAAAGAACTGTGAATAAAATTCCACCACTGAGATTCAAGGAAAACAAAGAAGTTTCCCTTCATTTGAAGGAGAAACATTTCAAAACAGCGGTGATGACCATCTAGCTTCACTGCCAACATGGGTGGGACCCCAAATCTCAAGCAACACCAGAGGCCTATGATGCTTTTTACATTTACTCTGGCAGCAAAAGCAGCTCACCATCATTTCCACAGGAAATGTAAAGCTGGCTCTGTAGGAATTGAACAGAAAAGAATCTTACCAGAAGCTGAAGATGCTCACCCAATGACAGTATAGATGTGACATTAAAGCAAAGTTTTTGCAAGTTTTTCCTGGCTGCCCAAGCAGGCCTGTGCCTGATGCTGGGGCTCCTGCTCTTTCCCAAGCACTACTCACATTCTGAAGAGCAGCACAGTGTATCCTTCTGAGATCTGCACCTCTGCTGACAGAAGTTCTCAGCCTGTCTGGCTGCTCTGCACTGAGGCTCCTCGCACACTTGTTCTCTCAGCTCTTCATTAATGCCCTGGGTTTCAGAGCATCCTGCTGAATTAAATGCAAGGTGTGCAAATGCCTTGCATTTAATTCAGCATACAACCTGCTAAATTAGCATACAACCTGCTACAGCAGCACTGGGAGGGACTTTTCCAGCTCTCAGTCAGCAGCTGCCACAGTAATAGTCTTTGGCCTAATTACACCCAACCCAACTTCAGCCCCCAGCTCTCACAGAAGTCACAAGATGGGATCATTTCCCAAAAGCCTCCCCAGGAACTTGTGAACAAGGAGAGGGACATCAGCAGGGAGGACCAGATGCGGCAGCAACAAAGGAAAGAAGCCAAATTCAAGACTTAAGAGTGCTTTTTTCAAGGTATTTGTTGTGTTTTAGTCTCATAATTGAGGTGTTTTTTCCCCTTTCTATATATTTTATTCTCATGACTGCTTGAGACACATGATTAACCTGTATAAAGAGATGAAGGCCCCATGCAACAAGGGGCACTGCAGGTGGGCACTGCTGCCATCGTGAATCCCACAGAAGCTGCTGGGATGCAGTATCCAGAGCTCCTCACTAACACATTCACTCTGTGTATTCCACCAGCCAAAGCATCTCAAATCCCACACGCAGCCAGCTGCAAGGATGGAAACTGAAAGAACAAACTGGGTGAAAAAAACTGCCCAGAAATTATGTGGAAATTGAGCAGGGCAAGCAAGGATTGTCACCACTGGGAAAGCCCAAAGTGGTCAGTGGGGACATTAACCATGTCACGTGTACAGCATAGGGCAAGGTTCCACCTTTCCACCTTTGAGCACCCTCCAGGAAAGATGCACCAGAAAGCAGGCACTAATCCCAGAATTCCAGCAGTGCTCACTGGCTGGGCGCTGCAGCTGCATTTTCCATGCTTCCAGCAGAGAAATCCTTTCTGATTCAGCTGGAATCTCATTTATTTCCTGAAAATYCCATCAAAACTAGAAGTCATTCGGTGGCTTCAGAGAACCTCTATGGCCTTTGTAAACATTTTAGCGATTTTGCATAATTAAGAGCAACCCTGTGTAGGAGGAAAATTGCAGAATGACACCACGCTGCAACGGAACAGGAAAGCAGAGCAGGAAGGGAAGGGTGACAGGATGAGGTGCCAAGAGAACCTGAGGTGGAAAGGATGCAATTATCCTAACAGAAATAGGAGCTCAGCATTCATGTTCTAAAAGGGTGTTCAGTTTTTGTACTCTGAGGCAGGTATTTTCACCAAACACTTCCACATCCACCTCTGAGTTGCTCTTTTTCAGACCTAAAAGTGGACCCTGACATTTTCTCCCAGTTTAGTGCTCCTGAGCCTTTTCAGAGCATGACTGTATCAGGAAGTGTTTGAAAACAAACCTTGCTGTCTATTTTATCGCTGGCTGAACACCACAGCTCACATAACCAGGCATTTCCAGCCCCTAAAACATTCTCTGTTCCCCCAAATACCTTAATGGAAGCAGTTTGGGCTGTCCTGTAAGCAGCCAGACTGTTGAGCTGCAAGTTCTGTGTGGGAAAGAGGTGACAGCTGTAAAAGCAGCGTGGCTGATTTACTATCACTTTCTGTATGGACACCACGTGGTGCAGTTTCACCCATGCCCAGACCCTGACGTATTTCTCGTACCTATTTTCATATCTATTTTTCAACTAAAAAAAGCTCAGTTTTCAACCCTGTGTTTTCTTCTAACAGCTTATCACGATTATAAGCAAAAAGAAACACTAGCAAGATATAGTCCACATTTTTGTTCTCGCTTTATGAATCTACTGCAGTCACAGATTCAATCTAGTTTTACTTTTAATAATGAAATAATGGAAAGATGAGAACTCATCTGAAAGAAAGGCACACTTTTCTGAACTCTGCAGTTCAATGGTGTGTTTGATCTTAATGTAAGGGAGGAAAATGAAAGAAATAAAAGAAACCTTGATACACAGGCACTGTTTCAAAGTGGATCCAGCACTCCCAGAGTAGAAGCAGAAAGAACTAAGAGACCCATATAGAAGCTAGTGTATGGAAATGCAAACCCTTTTTCACTGCTTTAAGAGGAGGAAATCCGCACACACCAGTAACAGATCTAAAACTAAAAGAAGCAGGTTAGAGTACAGAAATAGGGTTGCATCCATGTGGTTTCTGGATGAACAGAGCTGCCAGAGGGTTCACATCTGGTCTCAGCATTCCCAGCCTGGCTGTCCTTTGCTCCCCTGGACAGTTACTGCAGGCCACAGTGACGTGGGTCAAACCCACACCTACTGCAATAGACGTGTAGCTGTTTGTAAACACAACAATCTGGGGCTTCTTATCTCTTAAGCAGTCTGGTGTCTGACTAATGCTATTCGTGATGGCTTTGCAGATGCATCACTAATTCAAAGTCCCATTCCAGCTTCCACCCTCCTGACATTCACCTAATGAATGACCTAATCCTGTAGATGATGGAGATCAGGTATACAACACTGAACATCAATAAACAGGTACATGTAGTAAACTAAACTCTCTCTGAAAGGTGGGAAATCTTGTGCTTTATCCCTATCCCGAAAGGGACAGTGCTGCTTATTCACCTTTGAAATCTTCATTCATATAATACTATTCTTATAGAATCATAGAAAGGCATGGGTTGGAGGAGACCTTAAAGATTCACTCCCCAGGCTACACGAGCACTTCTGTAACTTGGAGATGGGGGTAAAAAAAGGATAGTAAAATAATTAGGAAACTTAGCTCTTCATCTATAAAGCAGTTTTCTCTCCCGAGTGGCAGCAGAAATTGAAAACTGAACTGGAACAACTGCAGAAGTGCAGCGGAGTGGGGGAAAGTTTTGGAGACCTTTCCCGCTGCCCACCCTGTGGATGACCAGCCCCATTGAGCCGCCCGCAATGTAAAGGCAGAGCTCTGACAGCCCTTCTCCGTGACACCTGTCCCTGACAGCTGCTGAGCCACACCGAGATCCTGCTGCCAAACACCGAGCGCCGGCAGCCGGGCAGTTCCCGGGCACATCCCGGCTGGCCGCTCCAGGCTGAACTGCGCTGGGAACAAAGAGCGGCACGGCTGCAGCGCTCCCCATCACTCGCACGGCTGGGCTGACAATGCTCCTGCTCGGGAGAGAACGGCAGGGCCAGGGAATGCCCCAGCGAGGAGGAGGGCACGGGGAAGAGCGGGGAGGGCCGGCCAGGCAGCCCAGCACACCTGGATGAGCCTGGCGCCAGGGATGCTCTCCGGAAGGCTGCTTTCCGGGAAGGCAGGCCCCCTGCCCGCGGCCCAAAGGCGCCCTCTGCTCTGCCCTGCGCTGCCCCGAGCGGGAACCCTCCGGCAGCCGAGCCCCACAGAGCGCCGCTCCCGCCCCGCCGAGCCCTTTGTCCGCAGCGGGAGGCGCCGGGAACCGGGAGAGAGGTTACCGATGGAGACCTCCTGGGCGAAGGCGAGGGAGATGAGGAGCAGCGGCAGCCCCACGGCGATGCAGGTGACGATCTTGTCGAGCGCCAGCTCCAGCCGCAGCCCCTTGTAGCGCGTCTCCGGCGGCTCCTTCAGCAGGAAGTCGGAGAACACGTACTCGGTGGCGATGTGCGCGATGGCCATGGCGGGCTCGGCACGGCTGGGCTGGCCTGTCCCGGGCTGGCCTGTGCTGGGTTAGGCTGTGCTGSGCTGGGTTAGGCTGTGCTGKGCTGGGTTAGGCTGTGCTGKGCTGGGYTAGGCTGTGCTGGGCCCCGCCCRGCTCCGCCCCGCAGCCCGGCCCGGCCCCGCCCGGCGAGGGGGGCGGGGGGCGCGGAGCGGCGTGCTGCTGGTCGGAGCGGGGACTGTGGGCTGTGCCGGCCGCCCTGGGGGTCACTGAGTCACGGAATAGCTTGGGTTAGGCGGGCTAAAGATCATCCGATTCCAGTCCCCCGGCTGTGAGCAGGGACACCTTCCGCTACACCGGATTCAGCCTGGCCTCAAACGCCACCAGCGTGGGGCATCCACAGCTCCCCTGGGCAACCTGTGCTACCGTACCACCAGCCTCACAGTAGAGAATTTCTTCATAAAATCTGTTCTAAACCCACCCTCATTCAGTTTAAAGCCAT